CGGCCAGCCGACCACGTGCCGCCACGGGCGGTCGGGCGCCGGCCTGTGCCGGGCGGGGGTCGGCAGCCGAATGCCCAGCCCCTCGGGCTCTCCGGACCCTTAGCGTTCGGATCTAGCCCGCTTCCACTACTGTTCCAGCCGAACTGTCTGGAATTCAGTTGTTTTGACCCAAGGGGTCGGCGTTTCTTGAGGGTCTGCTGTGTGCCGGGCGCTGAGGGTGCAGGGGGAGCATCCGCTCTTTAACGGGTTGGCAGCCCCGGGAGGAGCCAGACGCTGACTGCTAATCCCGTAGACAAAATGCCCGAGTCCTGACTACACTCCACCCTAAAGAGAAGAGCAGTGACGGGTTAGGACCGAGCGGGATGGCCTCGAAGGAAGAGCGGTTGAATCATCAGCGTTCATACCCAAGCACATTTTATTTTCCAGATTTATTCTATTTTAAAATACGGTATCCTAGTACAGATGCTCCCCTCCCTAACGTATTCTAAAACCCTCTATTAGATTGTGACTTGAGAAGCTTATCAAAACATTGTAGTTAAGTGGAAAACTATCCCATTAACTTCTGTGAGGCCCCGCTTTTATTTATTTGGTAATAATTTGGTCTCTATCACTGTAGGAGCCAATTAAGTATGGAAACACAATAGAATAGTTCCTGTTTTTTTCTTCGGTGAAATTACCCAACTGAAAGATGAAATTATTTTTTCAGGATCCTAGCGATGCAGCACAACAGGAAGCAAAGCACAGGTATGGGCTGGAGCTCTGCCCTTTTCTGAAGGGTTTTCTCACCAAACGGTTTTTTTACTTGGGTTATTTTAATAGATGTGTGGATCTTAAAGTTTTTCCCATCATTGCGATTTGTCCTTAAATCGCTAGGGTATCTTGGTCATTAATTTGTTAATGAAATAAACGTGTGGAGCCCCTCAGCACTCACTGCCTTGTATTGCAGTTACTGGTTGATGTTCGCTTCTCTGCTAAACTGTGATTACCTTACAATAAGCATAATAATAGGACTATCTCATACGCACGTTTTGAGGATTTCATGGAAACAGTGCCTCACGTCTAGTAAGTGCTCAATAAATACTGTTAACTTTTTATTTTAGCCCAGCACGTGGCAGAGCACCTCACACTTGGCAGGTTAATTGAATGATACCTGATTACCCCATCATGCTACCTGTTTTTCTAATTGATTAAAAATATAAAATTTACCATCTTAACCATCTTTAAGTGTATAGTTCAGTTGTGTTAACTATATTCTTGTTGTGCAACAGATCTCTAGAACTTTTTCATCTTGCAAAACTGAAACTATGCCTATTGAACAACAACTCCTTTTCCCCTCCCCCACCACGCTACCTTTAACTCATTCATTCATCAAGTATTGATTGAGCACCAGCTGTAGGTCAGGCACTGAGCATTGCTGGGTCTACAGAAAGAGGCAAGGCAGAGAAGGTTCCTGCCCATATGTGGCTTATGTGAGTGGGAGAAGACAGACGGTAAGCACCTGAGATAGTGCTAAGAAGAAAATAAAACTACTACACAAATTTCATTGGTTCTAAGGTATACATTTTTTCACATATGAACATATCTGAAATTGGGTGTGTCTCCTTGCACGCTCTTGCCCTGGATTCTTCTAGACAGGATTTACTTTTGCTTCTGCCATCACTTGGGTACATTTCTAACTTGAGACCGTAAAATTAAATTCTCTGGCTGGGGCTCCCCGGTCTCTTCACCCCTGTAGTGTGAATTCAGACAGCAAGCCTGCAAGACTGAAGCTTATTTTATTTATTTATTTTTTTTTTGAGGAAGACCAGTCCTGAGCTAACATCCGATGCCAATCCTCTTCTTTTTGCTGAGGAAGACAGGCCCTGGGCTAATATCCGTGCCCATCTTCCTCTACTTTATATGGGATGCCGCCACAGCATGGCTTAACAAGCAGTACGTCGGTGCGCGCCGGGGATCCGATCCGAACCGGCGAACCCGGGGCCACCGTTCGCTGCAGCCACAGCGGAGCGCACGCACTTAACCGCTTGCACCACCAGGCCGCCCTGAGACTGAAGCTTGACGTTCACATTCTCAGAGGAGCTTTTTTCCTCCTCCACGCGGGGCCAAGGTTGATGCACGCAGGCTTTCTTGCTGTCCCTTTCTGCAGGGAGCGTTTCTTTCTTGTTCACCTTGTACTGAGGATGTTGCTCTTCGTGCCCCAGCCTTGAGTGGGGGTCTCCCATTAACACCTCATTTAGGGTGTTTTTTCATTCCTAGAGATACATGAAACTAGGTTGCATCTTATAATCGATGGCATCTTAGACTCAGTGAACGTAGTAACAGTAGTTCATGGCAGGGTTGAAGTACGCAGGAGCAATGAAGAATGGCCTGTGGAAGTAGGCTTCAAGCCATGTTCCATGAGCCCTAGGGCTCCTCAGGTGGGGTGGTTAGTGAGCACAGCCAGCTCCAGCTCCCCTCTCATTCAGCCAAAGAATCTCTGCTTCTGTCTGTGTTGTGTATTAAGTTCCTTGAAGGACTTCATTTGAAAAAAAAATTTATCTGCTGCTTAAAAAAAAAGTTTGAAACCACGGTCCTATCAATATGAACCAGTTCCTACTTGGATAGGTAGGAAGATGCAAGGATAGTTGCAGAGTTATAACTTCACTTCCCCTCCCCATCCAAAAAATAGAACTGAGAGTCTTGAGACATGGGATGTGGTTCTAGCTTGGCCACGATATCTGTGTCCCCTTAACAGAGCCTCCCTGGGTCTCAGCTGCTTCATCTCTGAGAAGATTACACAGATTAATCACTTGGTCCTTCTAATTGCCTGAAATCTCACTACAAATTTCTGGCACCTCTCACACTAGGTACTTAATAAATGCTGGTAAATGTGGTTGAACTGAAACTCCACCCTGAATTATGAAAATGTAAAGTTTTACCTGTCAACCCGGTGGGTTTACACCCACATAATCTAAAACTGGCTTTGAGGGCAAGAGTGGACTCTTCGGTTTACTGTAGCTGCTGCCATCCACACAGCACCTACTCTAGTGCAGTCTTATGTACTGCAGGCTTCCATCTTGAGAAACGTATTGAGTGAGTTACATTTTGTATGTTCAGTAGGAATGCTGACAGCTTAGTTCTAATTTTGCTTGACCTGTTTTTGTTGTAGGGAAGCAGAAATGAGAAACAGTATCTTAGCCCAAGTTCTGGATCAGTCAGCTCGGGCCCGGTGTAAGCATCTTCAGTTTCCTTTTAAGTTATTTCCATAAAATTGGCTTGAGTTAGTTGAATAGGGAGATATTTATGAAATTATTGCTGTCTCCAGATTGAATATTTGTGTAACCTAAAGACACTTGAGATACAGATTATTTGTAAGTGTGAAGTTTATAAACCTAAATAAATGTACTTAAATCATTATTAAAAGTACCAGCTCGGCTCTCTCTTACCCAGGAGATGATCTTCAAGTGCATATTAGGTAAAATGTATAGGAAAGAACTCTTAAGTCAATCACAAAATGTTGCTGGTAGTTGATGTGGGGTGATAGGGGCTTAGGGGTTTATTGTAGTCTCTGTTTTAATGTATGCTCATCACTTTTTATAATAAAATGTGGAAAGAAAACCATGGAGAAACAAAATGAGCCAATCGGAATGAACTAGTGTCTTCTGTGTTGTAACTTGAAGCCCAGCTTAAAGAGGCAGCTTTAAAATGCGTCACCATGATTATATATGTGTAGTAATATATCAATCTGCTTTCCAGAGGGCAGTCATATATGTAAAGAAAAAGAAAAGCAAGGACTTAGAATCTGAGGGCCCAAGTTTAATCTTGGCTGTGCCACTACTTCTGTGTGGCCTTGAGATTGATGTCGCTGAACTGTAGTTTCCTCATTGTTAAGAGGGATAACAGTACCATCTGCCCTGCCTACCTCGCTAGTCTCAAGACAAAATAAGTCCGTGAAGTGCTTTGGAAATGTCGGTGCATAGTTTTAAGGTATAACAAGTGCATTGAGTTTTGACTCCTTTTAATGTGTATATATGTATTTTTTTCTTTTCAGTAAGTAACTTAGCACTTGTAAAGCCTGAAAAAACTAAAGCAGTAGAGAATTACCTTATACAGATGGCAAGATATGGACAACTAAGTGGGAAGGTAAGCTTGGACTGCCTTGAGGCAGTTTTACGTAATGTTACCTACTTTATCAAAACTTATCTTCAAAAGTCTGCTTCATCTTCCGGTTACAGAATTCTTGTTGACTATTTCAGTGAAGTGATTGTTCAACAAGAGAATGAGTAGTTGTATCTACTATCCTAAAAGATAACTAATGGCCTTTCCTAAAGTCCTCTGCTGCTGTCTTGTCCTGACGTTGCTATGGAACCTTCTTGGTGTCTGTGTGACCCAATGATTGTAGCGTCAGCTAGCTTAAACTGCTTCTACACTGGAAACAAGGTTTGTCAGTAGTACCAATTAAAATACTACCCGTGTAGATAGAAGTTAAGCATGTTTTGCGAGTGAGGAGGTGCTAAGATGCCCCAGTTATGTGTGTTGCTATAATGCCGTGATGGGTATATTCTGGCAAGCCTGACCTTCCTTCAAGATCCAGAAGAGCCCCACCCGCACTGGGCAGCCCTCTGCTGCCACCACAGCCTGCAGGGATCAGTCCTGGCCTGAACCCCTTACCCTAAGCCCGTGTGTGGAAGGTACGACGACTGGCCCGTCTTTTTTGAGTGACTTATCTCCTGCACTTAAGCGTCTCAAGGACAGAGGCCGGTGTGTGTCTGTCCTTGACACTTAACACAGTGGTGTAGGTGGTTGTCACTGGCTGCTAGTGGTGATAAAGGTGTTCTTAATTATCTGTTAACTTTGGATTTTTCTGAGGAAGCTAATTTATGGATACTTTTTCCCCTCCTCAAAGGAGGACTGGCAGAGCAGATTTTATTTGGAACTAAACCAGTAGTTATAACCAGTAGTTTCAACCCCTGTCCACCTCTCCTTCCCCACTGACCTCTATCCCATACCCCTGAGAGACTAAAACAGTTCGGTCTGTTGAGGGCAACACTTTGTTTTAAAAAAGTACTGTTTTTCTTTCTGGTTATCCTAGGTATCAGAACAAGGTTTAATAGAAATCCTTGAAAAAGTAAGCCAGCAAACAGAAAAGAAAACAACAGTTAAAGTAAGTTTCTACAGATGCACAATGCAAAAGAAAAAGATTGCTATTTTAAATAAGTGTTGAATATACACCTACTGTATCAAAACAGGTTTCCGCCCATCGACATTTTCATTTTGTAACACGGAAGTTTGGGGAGGAAGGCTGCATATATTGAGGGGTCTGATTTTTTTTGATTTGGCAGGGGTTTTTTTGATGTCATAATAGTTTATAACATTGTGGGATTCCAGTTGTACATTATTATTTGTCAGTCACCATATAAATGCACTCCTTCACCCCTTGTGCCCACCCCCCAATTCCCTTCGAGGGGTGTAAATTTTAAGGCTCGTCTCTTGACGTTCCCCCCCTTAGATCTAGAACACAGAGTTGTTTCAAAGACAGACAAAAATATATAGTATGTAGACATTTTTCTTCTCAGAAAATTGAGTTATGCTTTATTAAACATGTTATGACACTCATTTAATTTTCCCCCTAGTTCAGCAGAAGAAAAGTAATGGACTCTGATGAAGATGACGATTATTGAATTTAAGATGTTTAGAGACTGGAACTTAATGGAACCATTCTAGGATAGATAATATTTGGGAGAAGTTGAGATTTGATTGATGTTTACTTTGTTTATTGTCTATATGCCTTTTAAAAAAATAAACTTGTTATGCAAAATGAAACAATTTGGGCAAAGTTGTTTTAGTACCATAGCTGAATGAACAGAAGATCTGCTTTTTGAATTTGTTCCTTTCCTACCAAAAGCTTTTACATGTGTAGCAGCATGAATATACCCTTTCTAATTGTCACATTAGTGTTAGGTGGGAAAATGGCCTTAGCAGAAACAGAAGCTGCTCGAGCACTCTTCAGTAAGAGGAAAACAGCGTCCAGTAACGTCATGGGAGGTAAAACCCATGGACTAAGCTGAATCAGCTCCAGTATTAAACGTCTCATATTTCCAAGACATAGGCTCTGAAAGCACGTAAGCTATTTTTCTTCCTGCAGATAGTACTTATATTTAATGTAAGAAAATTCCTAGCTTTAGTTTCACTTATAATCTGCTTTTCAAAAGCAGTGAGACTAAATTATCTAACAACTATTACCCCTATCCAAAACTACCTCTATAATAGAGTGGTACTTGAATTGAAAAATATTACCAAAATAACTGGGACATACTAGTAATAATACTTCAACAATAATAAACATGTTTGTAAGAGAAATGACTTCTAATGATTAAAATCCAGTTAAGATTGTTTAGCAGTTAAACATTTGGGTAGAAATAGCCTGGGTTCTTCACTGATCAAGTTGCAGGTAACTTAAGCAAATGTCATCTTATGTTGTGCTTCACTCCCACTAGGTTACAGTAACCTTTGCTCATACGTGTAAGTCATGAACTTCTCTCTCCAGTGAGCTGTGTCGTGTGCCCTCTAGATGTCAGTCCTGAGACCCAGCTAGGAGGACGGTCATAAGGTTAATGAGGGGGACAGGATTAGCAGCAGCACAGCGACGGGAAATGAGGTTTACAGTCGCAGTCTCCGCGTTAGCTAGCACACTGCTGACAAACATGTAAACTGTATGTGAGATTTTACTATATTTGAGACTTACAATTTGTAACTGTGGTCAATGAAGGAAGTCAGTATTGAAATAAGTGTCTTGCATTCCTGAGAAAACAAATGAGTAAGAACATCAGAACGTTAAAAACATGCAGAATTTTTTAAAGGAACAGAATAAATAGTCAAAAGTAAAATTCGGTCAAGGATTTTTAAAAAAAACCCAATTACAGGTAAATTTTGCTTTGGGACTCATTTACATAAAAATGCTGGAGGGAAAGGAGACAGTTTCAGCCCGTTTTGTTACATGCTGTCTCTGGCAGAATAACCACTGTCCTAATGGCACCTACTGATGTGAATGTGTTTCAAGATTGTCAAATCCTGTCCTTCAAAGCCACTTGAGAATGGAAAGTGGTTCTGTATGGGAGATAGAAGTTCTTGAAGGCAACAAGGGGGTGGTGTACATTTGGGTCTAGGGAGTGGGGAGTGGTTACTCTAAACTTTCTCATTTAACTCAGTGAACTGACAATACTTTGAATTCAAAACACTCTCACACAAAATAGAAATTTGGGCATTACCAGTTTCTGAATTGTCAAGTCAAGTTTAGTTTGGGGTTTTTTTTACTTTATTATTTTTTTTATTTTTGAGTTTTAAGCGGGGAAAGCAATTGGAGAAAAACACAGGTGTTTAAAAATAATCGAGGTAATCACTTCAGATGACTCACACTGCTGATTACCAGAATAGCTCAAGAAGAAACTTCTCTGGTAAGATGGACAGTCCCATTCACGGTATTTATATCTCTAGATGAAGGGCACACTGCACTGGAAACTGCCAATTCAGATGACACTGCCAGTTGGGCTTTGGCCCCAGTTCTGATATTTCAAGCAAATTGGTCCCCTTATTTCTCTAAACCTGTTTCCTCATTTGACAATTCTACCAGCCAGGGCAAATGTTAGAATTAAATAGGGGTATAAGTGAAAGTTTTCAAAATTATACTGCACCACCCAAAAAATTAAGTGGTATCAAATGTATATATTTGCATCTTGGAAATGGCTGTGCTGATAAACTGTATAGGCTATGGTTTCTTAATTAGGATGGTAGAGAACCACAGCAACTTAAGTCGATAAGGTTATTTAGTTTAAAAGTGGGGTAAAGGAGAAAAAATAAATCAGAACAAAGAAATTCGCAAAGCAACAGTGTTCATTTCCTGTTTGGGCTAAGAAGCTGTATTATATTCATTTTTTGTTCTGAGTTTAAAAGAAATGAAAACATTTTTGTGGGCCCTAGGCACCATGCCTCAAGTCAGCCGTAGTCAGGCAGATGGATAATAATCTGCTCCCAATAATCCAGTTTACATGTTTCAGTCACACATCTACAACTGAAAAATAAAATGTATGTCCACCCAATTGGGGAAGATTTTTCCATACACAAAGCGCACGTTTATAGCAGAGGCTGAGAAACCCATATATCATCTCCACAGCAAAACATGAATTAAAAAAGCGTACCATGACACACTCAAGAATCATAAAGTTTACTGTTTCTTTTCCATCATTTGGCACATATCCAAGGCACATTAGAAAATTAGAAATCATAAATTACTTTGTAGAAAAATAATCAGCCCCTCCCTTCTATAATACACAAGTTATTTCCAAGAACATGCACAAAACCATTTCCCTATTACAAAGGTCTTTGAAAATGTACTCAAGGTAAACCCATGTTTGCAGCTCCGAGACCAATTAATAACATAAAAAAATAAGTGTAATCTGTAGAAGTTTATAAAAAGGAATGAATGGCAATAAATTCTAACTTAAAGTAACTTTGACCTGGTTTGTGCTGTAAGTTTTGAATCTGAATCAAAAGACTAAGATGTGCCAAATCTACTCTCTAGTTCAGTAACCATCCGTCAGGTGTGACATTTAAGGGAGGTTCTTAACGGAAAGGGATGTTTCTAGAGACGCTGCTGCAAGTGCGTATGTGCGGTGATCAAATATCTGTACTCTGTTGGAAGAAAAATTATACCAAACTTGTCCCACATACATAATGTAGAACAGGTTATACAGTGTCCTTTTCACTAAAATGAACATCAGAATGGCATTTAGGCATCTTTGGGTTCAAATGTTGCTTTGCAAAGGAACATTTTCCAGGTCCCGTTTTCTTCATGCAAATGTGGCATTCCTGCCCAGCCTCCACGGAAACATGAAACCTGAACTGCTGCTCTCTCCAGCTTATCCCAGATGGAGGAATTCTTTCAGCTTGTGGTTTGCTAATTTACACACATCACAGAGGTTTAGCACCTATCAGTAGGAGGAGGTCAGAATCTGGTGATGAAACCTCTCACTCTAACCAGGGAACCCTAATACTTCAGGAAACATACACCCCAGTCTTAAGGATCTGGACACCACTGGAATTTTTGTCCATTCCAAGTGTATTTATTAACTTTGAAGAGGAAAGAGATGGTAGTAGTTTTTTGTTGTTGCATTCTTCCCCTTAGCCACAGAAAAGCTTTCAGGAACCTGCTTCTCTCTCAAGCCAAAGTACATTTAGTTCTAAGCTGTCTTCATGCCCAGCATCTTCTTGTTGAGGACTCACTGCTTGGCAGCGAATTTAACAATTCCTTATTCCTGTTAAGACTGGGAAATACTAGCCTCGTGGGGAGTAGCAGGGCTGCCAGCAGTCTCTGGGCCCTTGGCTACAACTGCATCGTCGACAGTGTGTCTGCGGAGCATTCGCCTGTTCCCAGGAGCAGTCTGTTTCAGTCCAGGCCTCTGGGGCTGCTCACCACCTCCTTTGTCAGCAGTCTGAGATCTGCTCTGGTCTGGCAGGTTATCCTGTTCCCGTGTGACTCTTTGCCTCCCTGGCTGAAGAAAGGGTACAATTCAAACAGTTCACGTTTGCACTGTGCTTTAAACCACTGCCACACGTTAACAGCCACCCTTGAGTGCTTATACGTGTCCCTGTGCTCAGTGCTTCCGGGCATAATTTCCACTCTGCCATCCCTGTGGGCATAGTAGGATGTGTGTACTCCAAATGTCAGACAAAACGCAAATGCTTCACGTTTGCACATTTAATCTTTACAACTCTAACGTGTGTGCTATTGTTGCGCCCATTTTACAGCTGAGGAAACAGGTTGAGCAAAGTCAAGCAACCTGCCTGGAGTCCCACAGCTAGCAAGGGAAAAGCTGAACCCAGGCAGATTTCAGAGTTGGTGGGTTTCCCACCCAACAGCAGGTCTATGAGCAAAGTCATGAAAGAGGAAATAGGAAATCAAAATTAGTCATGTTTACAAGAGTCACTTTAATGCTCTAAAACAAAGATTTAGAACTTCAGTATATTTGTTTCAACAAGCCTATGCCATACATGCTATGAATTCCATTTCTCATCAATAGTCGTAGGTCAAGCAGCAATAAGAAAAGTCCTGTTTCTGAGAAGAGGCACCTGAGAACGTAGAGCAGGCTTCTTTTATAACAGTGATTAGAGAGTGCTTTAGGAAGACGGCCACCGACAGCGCTGTCTATATGAGCAACTCTATACCACATTCGGAGTTTTTACCCACCTATATACAAACTTGTTTTCTTCCTTACATAAGTGGTTCACATATTAGTGAATTTGCTTAGATAGTGACATTTGAGACAGTTCACACAGTGTGTGTACACACCATGAATTGCGTCTTTCCATGTGTACAACTATTTTCCACTTTTCCTCACTTTCTCAGCTCAGAAATGTATTGTTAAATATAACAATAAATGAGGTCTATACTTGACCCTCCCACTAAAGAACTCATTTTAATTATTATTAACTCTTACAGTGAAGGGAATCATGACATAAGCAATGTGTTTAGGTTAGAAAAGCCAGGCTTTAAAAAAATACGATTATAAGCCAGTGTAGTAACTCACCTCATGCAACGAACCTTCAGTAAGATTGGGGGCACTTCTATCTCTGGCCATAATCTCCCTTGAAGTCATTCCCCTGAAACCCAAAGCAAACTAAAATAAACGTTTGGGATAGTGGGGATAGCAAGGCACTGGCTGGCCACGAGGTGGCAGCGCTCGCGGAGTGCAGGCTTGTCTACAGCCCTTTCAGAAAAGCTGCATATCCGACTCCAGCTGGAGGTCAAGGGAGGCTCGAAAGCACAGAAATCAGCTCGAAGTTGATACTCACTTAAACTGACCAACTGAGGGGACACAGTAAAACTGCCTAGGAAAAGGTTCTTCTGGTAGATCATACATTTTTGAGTTCCCTGTAGATGAAAGGATAAACATCTGAAAACTTCCAAAATAGTTGAAGAATTGTTTTCAAATTACAGCATAGACGCAACCTCTCAATTTTCTTACTTTAACAAAATTTATAAAATTAAGCACTGCATTTGCTTAAAGAAGCATATTCGTAGACAACTATTTATTACTGTATGAACCCCCATGAAAAAGAAAGATAAATCCTCAATACACTGATATTCCCCAGCCAACTACGGTGAGACAGCCTCAGGATTATCCAGGCATGTGAGTGGGTTTGTTCACACTGCATTGCAAACTCATATCGTAATTTAAAAAAAAAAATGAGTAGAACAAGGACCTCCTCTAAACTATAACAACTTTTAAAAAAAGAAGAAAATACTTCAGCCCCACCCGGTTGGCAACTGCCATTATAATTACCATCAACTTCTGCGCACCTGCAAATTAAAAAAAAAAATCTTGAAAGGTCCGTTTTACCCCGGATGTCCAGGAAATGCTTAGAAAATGGCCTGGCTTTGGAACATGAGGCATGAAAGAAACTACCCAAGGTTGGTCCTCCTCTCCAGTTGGTGAGGGAGGCCCGAACCTTCAAGGTCACGCTGAGAGTCTCCACCTGACTTCCTCAGGAAGCATCACATCAACCAGAAAACCAGTGTCAAAAAAAGCTGATGAATTAGGATGTCACATACATTTCTTTGGTGCCTACATTCCACCCACAGTCATGATTACAATTACATTTCACATCTACAATTAAATGAAACCAGCACCTACTCATGAACTTCCAAATAAACCCAAGTTGAAAATTACAGAAAGGATGTAAGTTCTTACATTTTTTCCTGATCTTAACAGTAACGTATTCCTGGTGGTCTGTTTTGCCATCATCATCTAACGTGGCCACACAGCTTGGTACGACCTGAAGTAATTCCATTATTTTTGAATTCTACAATTTGAAAGGGAAAAGGTAACAGGTAATTGCCTGTTTTTGATCTGTCACTATTGATGTGGCTGGCACAAAAGCTAAGAAGTAATTACACACAACACTTGGAAGCCATAAAGCCTAGTGGTTAGGACAGCCTGGCCCTGCCCTCTCCTGGGTACTCTGGGCCGGGAATTGGACTGCTCTGCAGCCGGGCTGACAATAACAGGATCTATTATCGTAGAGTTACCATGAGGTTATGGAGGGCCTGGTGCATAGGAAGTACTCAATAAAAGACATTCATCATTATCATTTGAGACAGTGCTAAGTTGAAAGTTTAAAATATTTCAATTCTGTTAAGAAATGTCACTGAAAATTAATAAGCCTATGAGTAGGCCAGATTTATGGTGACTCTAACATGACAGTAGTGTCATTTAACAGCCTACCAGTTGTCTACCCAGAGTAGAAAACTAGATATTCATCATGAACACAGGAACAGTAAAGAGCTACCTTCTCCTCAGAAGACTTCCTCCCCACTTCTCCATGGCAAACATGAACAGCAGTGGGGAGAGGGGTAAATTCACGATTCTCCCTACAGAACTGAAGGACTTTCAAAGCCACCAACTGAACGACCTTTCTCCATTGTGCTGAGACCTCAGGTGTACCCCACCGCAGGCAGGGAGGGCGAACAGAGACCACAGGTGCACCCCACCGCAGGCAGGGAGGGCGAACAGAGACCACAGGTGCACCCCACTGCAGGCAGAGAGGGCGAACA